GCTCCTGGAAAAATATTGTGTGGGGGTGGGGGAATATTCCAGTGGCTCAGGGTTGGAGTGACTCCAGTGTGTTCCCTGTTGCAGGTGTTTGATTTCCTGCTGATGCTCCGAGCTGACTCCCTGCACCGCCTCGGCCTCTCCAACAAGGATGGGGCAGTGAGGTTCAGCCCCTACTGCCTGTGTGATTTTGTGTAGGTTTCTCTTTGTGTTAAGCAAAATAATCAGAGTGGTTTGGGTTGGAAAGGGATCCCAGAGCTCAACCAGTGCCACCCCTGCCATGGCAGGGACACTTTCCACTGTCGCAGGTTGCTCCAAGCCCCACCCAGCTGGGCCTTGGACATTTCTTAATTTATTTTATTTTATAAAGCTGTTTTCCAAACTAAATTGTGTTCTTGCTGAACTTAGTGTTCCATCAGTTGCAATGTGCAGTTTTTCTAAGTCTTCCACTTCCTAGACCAGTCTGTAGTTACAGCCTACGATTGTCTGAACCAGTAACTCATTGGTGAGCTGCTCTTACAAATCGTTTACCTGTAGAGCTTTCAACCTCAGACATGAAATTTAAGTTCCTGCTCATAAAACTTCCCCCAAAAATGTGCAATTTTTTGGCCTCAAACCAGTTCCACATTGAATTTTGATTCGATGATTTGTACAAATCTGACTAGTTTTAATTTTATAGCTCGTCTGAAGTTGTGCAACACACCCCAAAATATACCTTTCTAAATTAAATACAAAAATCCTTCACTTGACCACACTGTCTGATTGCTGTGTGTCTGTGGGGCAATCCTGTGCTTTTTAAAACTGAAAATGCAGATCCTGTTGCTCAACCTTTCACCTGGCTCCCAGAAATGCTGCAGGTCACATGAATGAGTAGAAATAACACATTTTTCTCCCTTCCTGTGTTGCAGAGAGGCAGAGAAAAGGCCTTCTGAGAAGAAGCCCCCTGGCACCCTGTCCCCACCTTCAGGCAGCCCCAGTGTGCCTTCCCAAGGTGCCACTGTCCGGGTGGGACACCTGCCCTACTCCATGGTCTTTGGGGTCCTCCTGCAGTGCTTGAAGCAGGTATGTCCTGTCCTGGTGTCCTTGTCTTGTGTCCCCTGTCCTGGTGTCCTTGTGTCCCCTTGTGGCATCCTTGTGTCCCCTCCTGGCATCTTTCTGTCCCCTCCTGGCATCTTTCTGTCCACTCCTGACACCAGCTGCCTGTCAGATTCTAGCCCAGAGTACTTAAATAAAGCCTGAAAAGCAATTTCTGCTCCTCCTGCCCAAAATCTGGGTGTGATTGTGCAGCTTTAAAGCCACCAGTGGGAGCAGCAGTCCAGCTCTTCAGAAAATAAGCACGGCTTTCATTGCACTGCTTCAGAGCAGGCAAGGGCAAAAGCTGAGCTGTTAAATAAGATCCAAGAAGCCATCCTGTTTCTGAAAGGGCATTTGGAATGAGAACCTCTCCCACTGCAGGTTTGTGAGGTGTTTTGAGAGTTTGTGGATGTTTCATCAGCCATAAATTGTAAGTAGGAATTGTTGCTGAGTGTGGCATTGGGCACAGTTCTGTGCTGAGGGCTTGGCTTGCTCTGGCAGTTAATTGGTGCTGGTGCTTAGCAGAATTGAATTCTGCCTGTCAGATCTCAATATAATTTCTCTTCCAGTTTGTGGTGCCAATATTGCACCTAGAGCTGGGTGACAGACAGGGAGAAACTTGTGACAGCTAAATGCCACTTTCTTTTTCTGTATCAAGCACGACAAGACCTACATCTGCCTCGGAAATGACACATTGTCTGCAATTTGATTGATCTTCCTTCCAAACTCAAGTGAAATCAGGCAAAAAATTTCCACCTTAACATTTTCTGTCTTTGCAGGAGACAGACTGGAAGGTGCTGAAGTTGGTTCTCAACAAATTACCCGAATCCCTCCGCTATAAAGTGCTATTTTTAACTTCTCCTTGCAACATAGACCAGCTGGCCTCTGCACTGAGCTACATGGTAATGCCACTGAGGCACAGTCCCCAGCTCCCTGGTTTGCTTGGGAATTG